AAAAAAGAAAGAAAATATGTGAAGCAAGTTCTGGGCCCTGGAGTTGCGGAGTGGGAAAGCCCCTCCATTGGAGCGTTTCGGAAGGCTTCCTGGAGGAGGGAGGGGGACCCGTGGGAACGGTCTAAGCTTCTCTGGGATCTGGGAGGGCACCGCTGCTCTAAAGGTATTTCAGGCTAGTCCTGCTGCTCTCTGACTTCGCGCCGTCATACTCAACAAACAGCTAGAGCTCAAAAGTTGCGTTTCAGTCTTCCCATAAAGCGACAGAGGAGCACCGGACACTTGATAAGCGCCACTGGGGTTGCATGGTGGTGGTAGTCATTATTACTTGTTGAAGGACCCTCGCCACTCACACGCGACCCGCCGACCCTTCCCTGAATGATGGCAACTGCAGTCAGGCGGGCTGCGTCCTAGGCGGATGCAGACCCTGGGAAAGTCTGGAATTTCTCACCCCGACCATCGTCCCGGAGGCTCAGGCTGTACCTGCCAATGGGACTGGTAGGGCGGGGCGGCGGGGCACCCTCCTGGGCCGCCCTGCCCACAGGCCCCTCCTCCTGCCATACTCGCCGCCGCCCTTTGCACGGTCCCGGGAGAGGCGGGGCGGCGGTGACTGCAGCGAAGTGCAGGAAGCCAGGCGGCGGCCGCCAGTGAGGAGGAGGAGGAGCGAGCAGACTTGGGTGGCTCATCTCCGCGGAGGCCAGAGCCGCAGACTTCCCCAGTAGTACCGCGCCGCTCCGCCCCGGAGTGACGCCCTCCGCCCATGGGCCTGGCCGAAGGCAGCCGGCGGGCGGCGCGGAGGAGGCGGCGACAGGTGGCGCGCAGCAGGGCCGGAGCCGGGCCCGGCCATGGCCGCCTCAGAGCGGCCCTACGAGTTGTGGCTGCTCTACTACACGCAGGTGAGCCCGCCCCGCCCCGTGCCCGCACCCCCTGTGCCCCCAGCTTCGCGCGCCCCGCGCCCGCTGCACCTGTGCCCCGCGCCGCTGAGGCTGCGTAGACGCGCGCGCGCATGGAATGCTCCGGCTCCGCACCCACGTGTGTGCCCCCAGCCCGCCGGGTGCCTCTGGCACTTATGCCTTGGGTATAGAGCTCGCGGTCGTGCACTTCACAGCAACCCCCACAGCAGGACCGTGAACCCTGAGCCTTTCTTGCTGGAGGAGAGTGGCCTGGGCCGAGGCGGCAGAACACTTCGCCTTTTTACAAATGGGGAAACTGAGGCCTCTCTGGACAGGAGGCTAAGGGGAGGGGGTCTCAATTTGCATGTCGGCTGCCTCTCCCGTGGGCGCGGCCCGATTGGGTGGTCGTGGCCAATGGCTCTGGGAGTGTGGGCCGATGTAGGGGGGTGTGTGGGCTGACTAGGGAGGGTGTGTGGAAGGGGAATGCTCCCACCGCAGGTTCTTCTTGAGTTGCATTCCTCTCCCCCTACCCCTACGAACAGGCTGTGATAAGCTCCTCCCTAACTTGAGACGCCCCCACCTCACTCCCATTCTGGGAGGTGGACCCAGGGCCTCTCTAGGAGCAGAAAAAAAAGTTTTGCTCTTAATGCCCAGGGTGAGGGGGGCGTTGAGGCCCTGGGGAATGTCTGAGAAGGATGGAGGGCGGCCCTTTCATCCTGAGCTCCCCACCAATCTCAGAGAACACTTCACGTGTCCTGTCAGCTGAGAACCTGGTGTCACTGAAACCGTCTCTCACACATAGTCCCCCATTTTCCTTCTGCACCCCCAGCAGGGAGGGATCCCAGGGTAACACCTCCCTCCCCTTCATCCAGCACCTCCCTCCCTGCACCAGCCTGGCATGATGCTCCTGGCTCAGGTGTGCCCTGGGCACAATGGACCATTGTGTGCCCTGAACAGTTTATCACTGGGGGGAATTCATGCTCAGACGCGCTGGCCCTCAGTGAGGAGGCGGGTCCACTGTTTCCCGGAGACCTGGAGTCCAGGCCAGAAGGACCACAGCCTCTTTAGTCTGCTCAGGTTGTGAGAGGTCGAGGCCCTGGCAGGAGTCCAGGCATGGAGTAGGGTCCTTCTTTGGTATAACCCAGACCAAACTTGACTTCTCAGCCTCTGCTTCCTGCCTGTAAAACTGACATAGCCCTGGCTGGCTGTGGTGGCTCACGCCTATAATCCCAGCACTTTGGGAGGCCGAGGCAGGTGGATCATGAGGTCAGGAGATCGAGACCATCCTAGCCAACATGGTGAAACCCCATTTCTACTAAAAAAATATATAAAAATTAGCTGGGCATGGTGGCACGTACCTGTAATCCCAGCTACTTGGGAGGCTAAGGCAGGAGAATCGCTTAAACCAGGGAGTCAGAGGTTGCAGTGAACCGAGATTGCACCACTGCACTCCAGCCTGGTGACAGAGCAATTCCATCTCAACTCCATCTCAAAAAAAAAAAGAAAAAAAGAAAAAAAAAAAAAAACCTGACACAGCCCTGACCTCAGGGACTTCCTGGACTCTGTGGAGAGGTAGCCATTATAGCTGGTCCAGACCAGAGAAGGCTCCTGTTTCCCTGGCCCCATTGGGTTCCCTCGCCCCAGCCTCTTTGCCTCCATCTCTAGTGCCTGTGAAGGAGCAGAGGGTGTGAAGAGAAGCCTACCCCTAGTCCTTCTTCCTCTGACTGCCCCACAGCTGTGGGCAGGTTCTAGGTGTGTGAGCAGGTAAAGGGGGCTTCAACCAGGTGATGAGTGTGAGGGGTGTTAATTATAGGTCTTCATGCTGGGTGGCAGGCTGCTGAGGGTGTCTTGGTATCTCCCAGGACTGTAAGTCCAGCATGGTTGCCTCCTGATGTCCCATCTTACTGAGCTCTGCACATGGCCACCCCCACCCCCCACTGTCCTCTTAGGTGGTATTTATGGCTCATATCTGTGCCGAGCCTCCCCCTCCCAGAGCTCTTCACCTCACAGGGTACGTACAGAGCATAGG